TGATGAGAGTGCCAGCCATAAAAGTCTGTGGCTCACTGACTCACCAACAGGACTTAACATGACGGAAGTCCATTGGAGTTAGCTCAAGATATAGAGTCTTTGGGCTTATGGGAGCTGACAAAAACATCTCTATTTATGATTCCTAAGACAGTACAACAATGAAGAAATAGATGGAAGAAGAGGGAGGGGTGTGTGCCCTGCCATTAAAACAAGGAGGAAACTCCTCTCTTAGGGTCAGAGCCTCAGAGTGCAGGCTCTGCGTGCAAAACACACAGCCCTAAACCAGCCTGCTGCCCACGGGGGTCTCTCAGCCCGCTCCCCCTACAATGGACTCTCTTGAATCTCAAAGTGTTCTGACAGCTGTGTCCCAGATCGCACTGCTCCTTGGAAACTTGTGGTTCCCATTACGTGTCCCCAACACACAGTCCTCCCCGTCCCCTCTCCTCATAGAGGGTGCTCGTGACTCGTGGAATCTGTGCCTTCCAAAGCTTCCAGAGGGCTACAGAGAGCCCTCTGGCTACCAGACCAAGGCCGCATAGTCCAGGAAAAGCCCCATGGCGAGTTATTACTAGGGTGGGGCTGAATTTCCTTTGGAACCAAAGATGAAACATTAGCCAGAGTCTGCTTTCTCTGATAGCTTCTACTGCGATGGAATTCTTCTTCTTCTTCTTCTTCTTCTTTTAAGTACAAGACTTACTTTCCTTTTAAAGTTACTGGAAGAAAGAATTCAGAGCAAGCATAGGAAAATGGTGAGAAGGCTTCAGAAGTACTTTAGCCTTGACAAAGTCCTTCACCTTCACAAGGTGTTCGTTTTGATCTCCACAACATCCCTCTCAGGAGGGTCCCTACTTTGGCCGCACAATCGAATCGCCTGGACAGTTTTAGAAACCCTGATTTTTAAAGCCAGACCCCAGAACAATGACTTGAGGATCTCAGGGACGCAAGGCAGGGGTCAGAGCCTCAGATGATTCCAATGTCAGCCCAGGCAAGAACAAGCGCTCCAAGCTCTTAGCCCCATTTTGCTAAGGCAGGAGGCTTGGGACGGGTGCAATAGGTTGGTTCCAGGTCTCAAGACTACGGAAATGAATTGCAAAACCAGGTCCTCTGTTCACTTTCTTCCAGATGTGGCTTCTATGGACATGTGATAAAAATAGTAACTAACAGGTACATCAGTCTCCTCTATCTGAGTGGGATACATTTCAAGACCCCCCAGTAGATGTCTGAAATCATGGAAAGTGCCAAACCCTACATACACTATGGTTTTGTTTGTTTGCTTGTTTTGAGACAGAGTCTTGCTTTGTTGCCCAGGCTACAGTGAGTGCTGTGGCGTCAGCCTAGCTCACAGCAACCTCAAACTCCTGGGCTCAAGCAATCCTACTGCCTCAGCCTCCTAAGTAGCTGGGACTACAGGCATGTGCCACCATGCCCAGCTAATTTTTTTTCTATATATATTAGTTGGCCAATTAATTTGTTTCTATTTATAGTAGAGACGGGGGTCTCGCTCTTGCTCAGGCTGGTTTTGAACTCCTGACCTGGAGCAATCCGCCCGCCTCGGCCTCCCAGAGTGCTGGGATTATAGGCGTGAGCCACCGCGCCCGGCCACACTATGGTTTTTGATCTAGTAACTGAGGCAGTTACTAAGTGACTAACAGGCGAGTAGCCTAAACTGTGTGGATACAACAGACAATAATTCACATCCTGGGTGGGATGGAGAGGGTTGGCTTGAGATTTCATCATGCTACTCCACATGATGCACAATTTAAAGCTTATAAATTGTTTATTTCTGGAATTTTCCATTTAATATTGTCATACTGCAGCTGACCATGGGTAACCGAAACCATGGAAAGAGAAACCACAGATGGTGGGGTGGGCTGCTCTATTAATCTCTTATTACATGTGAACACTCTGGTAAGCACTTTACATGTTAATTCATTCCCCCCCCTCCCAGCCTAACATTCAAGTAATTACTGCTTTTTTTTTTTAGACAAGGTCTCATTCTGTTGCCCAGCCTGGAGTGCAGTGGTGCAGTCATAGCTCACTGCAGCCTCAAAATCCTGGATTCAAGGGATACTCCTATGTCAGCCTCCTTAGTAGCTCGGAATACAGGCATGTACTACCACTCCCAGCTAATTTTTCTATTTTTTGTGGAGACAAGGTCTCACTATGTTGCCCAGGCTGGTCTCCAACTCCTGGCCTCAAGCGATCCTTCCCACCTCAGCCTCCCAAAGTGCTGGGATTACAATTATGAGCCACCATGCCCAGCCCTCCCCAAAGTGTTGGGATTACAGGCATGAGCCATCAGGTCCACTGCTGTTTTCTCCAATTTACAGATAAAGAAACAGACACAGAGAGTTTGGTACAGAGGCCTGTACCAAACTTCACAGTAGGTAGTGGAGCTGCTATTCGAACCTGGCCATCTGACTCTAGATGTTACTCTCTCAATCACTGCACTAGACAGTATCGCCAGTGGCATCTCGCTGTTCATCAGCCTTGTGTGCTGGTGCCTTAGGCAAGAGGTAGAGAGAAAGCCAGTCACTGGGCTCAATTTCTGACTCTGCCATTTACTCTGTCGACTTTGAGCAAGGTACTAATTCTCTGTGTCTCAGTTTCTTCATCTGTAAAATGGGGATGATATTCATGGTATTCGTTTGTCATAATTAAAAGATGTACTACATATGAAAAATATTTCTCATCCGTACATGTGAAACATTTAGAGCAGTGTCAGGCGTGCGGCAAATGCTAAAAAATGTTAGCTATTATGATCAGGTTATTGCAGGACCGCTGGACATCCTCCCTTTATCAGATAGAGGGAATACACTGAGAATAATCTTGGGATTGCATTGTTCTTTTCTGAGCTTAAACTAAAAAGCACTGGGTTCTATTTTCTAGCTGACATGACCAACCTCTGGTTGTCCTTTCAAGGGTCTCCTTGGACCAGCAGGAAGCGTCCATGTTCCCCAGGACTTTGCCCTAAGCCTTTGTCTCTCACTCTACGTCGCCTCCCCTAGATCCCATATCCTCCCATGCCCATCCTCATACTAATAATGCCCAGATCCTTGTCTTCAGCCCACATTTCCCTTCTGAGCTCCAAACTTTTACATCCAACCACCACTTGAATAAGAGCACCACACACTCTATCATGTTCCCAAATCTTTGTTATATGCCATCTCTCTCAAAGAATTGGACCACCAACCACCTCTTTGTTCAAGCCAGAAATGACTATGTCTTCTTCAAATCTATCAGTTCCATCCCCTCCTACAACCGACAGCTTCTACCAGTTTACTCCTTCCTCTTTACCACTGCCCAAATCATGGCTTTACCACCTTACCTTTACACACTGGAATGTTCTCACAACAGCCCCACTGCCTTCAGTCTCTCCTCACCCGCTTAATGCCATGACTGGTTGCTCTAAAACACTCCTAAAATGATCTTGAATGGCTACCAGAAGGACGGTGTCCAAAACCCTCACCTGGCTTTCAAGGGATGTTAAACCTTCTTGGATATAAAGAACTTAAGTTCTTTGGTCAACAGCCAAGAAGAGACATTGGATCAGAGTCTTTTATTTATTTTGTGTGTGTGTGTGAGACAGAGTTGCCCTGAGTAGAGTGTCGTGGCGTCAGCCTAGCTCACAGCAACCTCTAACTCCTGGGCTCAAGCGATCCTTCTGCCTCACCCTCCAAAGTAGCTGGGACTACAGGTGCCCGCTACTATGCCTGGCTAATTTTTTCTATTTTTAGTAGAGATGGGGTTTTGCTCTTGCTCAGGCTGGTCTTGAATTCCTGAGCTCAAGTGATCCTCCCACCTTGACCTCCCAGAGTGCTAGGATTACAAGCGTGAGCCACTGCACCCGGCCTGGACCAGAGTCTTAATACAAGAGGGTGGGGCCATTCCTAGGAAGAGGGACCTGGGCATAAATGGAGATGTTAACAACTTCTTTTTTTTTTTTTTTTGAGACAGAGTCTCACTTCGTTGCGCAGGCTAGAGTGAGTGCCATGGCATCAGCCTGGCTCACAGCAACCTCAAACTCCTGGGCTCAAGCGATCCTTCTGCCTCAGCCTCCCGAGTAGCTGGGACTACAGGCATGTGCCACCATGCCCAGGTGATTTTTTCTATATATTTTTAGTTGCTCACTTAATTTCTTTCTATTTTTAGTAGAGATGGGGTCTTGCTCTTGCTCAGGCTGGTCTCGAACTCCTGACCTTGAGCGATCCACCTGCCTCAGCCTCCCAGAGAGCTAGGATTACAGATGTGACCCACCACGCCCAGCGCGTTAACAACTTCTTATCTGCACTAGAGTTCTGAGGACCACCTTCTCTATGGAAGCTCTTCCCCCTTCATTCTGTAAACACTGGCTAAATCCCTGCACTGCGATACCCAGTTACTCATTAACTCTGTGCGTTTCCCGCTAGGCTGACTGACTCACCACAGCGTCCACCAGCACCACCTCTCCCTATCCTGGCCTGGCCCGGAGTGGACACTACGTGCTCAGTGATGCTTGTTAAATGGATATTTATGGATAAAAGAAGAACTCTTGCAAATACAGATACCCACTGTTGTTCAAGTGGAGGGTTCCCAGGAACCTTTTACTCCCATCTTTGAAACTATTTGCCATGTTTTCTAAACTAAATCAATTATCCCTGAAGTATGTCAAGTTCATGAAATTTCTATTGGAATCTGTCAATTCTGGGCTATGGGATCACACACAAGTCTTTTTTTTTTTTTTTAAGGACAGTTTCTTGCTCTGTCACCTAGGCTGGCATGCAGTGGCACACTCAAACTCCTGGGCTCAAGCAATCCACCTGTCCCAGCCTCCTGAGTAGCTGGAACTACAGCTGCACACCACCACACCTCACTAATTTCTTTATTTTTCGTAGAGACAGGAGTCTCACTATGTTACCCAGGCTGGTCTTGAACTCACGGCCTTAAGTGATCCTTCCCCCTCCTAAAGTGCTGAGATTACAGGTGGCGCCCAGCCCACACACACACATCTTCATACAGACCTGTAAGTCCTGATTCCAGGTGCAAGTTGTTACAGCTTCTAGGAGACCATGTGCCCACAGCTTCAACTTTCTGTTTTTAAGAGTTGTCCTTTAGTATCAGAACAAAGACACCGTAATGATATATTATATACAATAAACCATAAAAATAATCATAGTAAAAATAGGCTGTAAGAAAGTCTATAAATTTTCTGGTTGCCATCAAATACTACCATGAAAGTCATAGAGTCAGGAAGATGAAAGTTCCTTCATCAGCAGTTTGGCTGGTGGTTTAGGCATGTGTGTTTTTGAGGGGTGTTTTTAGTGTCTTTATTCTACCATGTTTTTGCCTATTTCAACAACATTAAGATACCTGATCTATATAATTGGATCTGTAATATTCTGCTTACCTACCCTTGCCCAAACCCCAGTTGAGACAACTGCTACTCGAAAGTGAACAGTTCAAGAGACTGTAAATGGTTCGTATCCCTGGAGTCTCTTTAGGTGGCTGTTATATCACACAGAGCACCAGCAAGCTCATAACTCAATGAGGATGCTTTAATTCACCATTTAAATGCATCTGTGCCTGAAACAACCACATGAAAAAACCCTCCTATTTCTTTGGTAATAGTTCTACTTGGGGGGTACTCTTCATTTTAATATTTCTTACAGTTTTATCTCATAACTCCTTTCAAGTTTACCATCAGAGAAAAAAGAAAGTGCCTATTGAAAGGCTGAGTCACTTATATTTATCGTCCAATATGACCTTTAACTCATTCCTTTTCATTTTCCCTTGACTGCTAAGGAGCTCAGTTCTAAGTTTTGTGCATTATTTGCAATAGATATCCTTACCCTGTGTATATGAATCAACCAACTTTCCTACATTACATGGCTCTGGATCTGTCTTCCTTATTTTGATCAGTCTACTTTATGCAACCTCAAATCTCTTTTGGGAAAAAAAGCAAAAACTAAATTAGTGATGGGTAAAAGATGAGCTATACCCCAACACTTTCCTTAGATGTAATTACATGTACCTTTTAAATTCAATAGAAGATTCAACATTAATTGCTGACTTAGAACACCTGAAACTTGACAAAGGGTCAAGTTTTACTCACACTAGAGGTATGACCTTCTACAAACACTCCCTCCCTCAAAACTTTATAGAGCTAGGGCACAGTGCCCTAGTAGGAACTTTGCAAATATTTTTTGAATAAATGAAGGCATAAACAAACATCAGCTTTCAAGGTCATCAAAAAGACCCCACTTAGAAAATTTTGAAGGATAAAATACCTTTTACTAAGATAATAATGATCATGGTAGTGATGATGATGATGGTAGATTGCGTACATTGCAGGCTTACCACACCAGCTCTCTGTAAAACACCGTGCAGAACAGCATATTATTAATCCTTAAAACCACAACATGAAACCTGTATTATTATACCCATTTCACTGATAAAGAAATAGAGGCTTAGAGCAGCTAAACACAGCTAGAAATTTCTGGAGCTTGGGCTCTGGTCTGTCTGATGCTACAGTCCATGGTCTTTATCACCTTAAATATTTTTGAATATCTGATATCATCCCTGTAACTTGATCAAGTGTTCAGGCCATGAGACCAGAGAAAAGAAATTTAAATATGACTTGTTTTTTCACCTTGCTAATTCCTTAGACAGCTTCTTTCATCTAGAACTGGAAGAAGAGTGATATAGAGGACAGGATAGATTTGTATATGATTTATGATATGCATATGTGATTCATGATTTATACTTATGATATATATATCATAAAGCACTGAGCTCTTCATTTGATCATAAATTCCTCTTCCCTTCCATGCATGCCAAGTGATTTTTCATGTCTGTTGTGTCATTTGACTCTACAAGCCTATAAGGTAGGTTCTAATATTTCTGCCTTCCAGATGAGGAAACCCAGCCCAAGGGGATGAAATGATACAACCAGTGTCACCAGTGATGGAACCTGGAAGGACCCAAGCCAACCTGCCTCTCTCACTGCATAACCGTGACCTTATGCCCTCAGCCTGGTGTCGTCAGAACTAATGAGATTGTGTTTTACCCATGAGAAATAATTATTTGGGCATGTGTCAAATGCATAATCATACATATGTTTGAGTAGAAGTCAAGAGTTTAGAGGTACAAAGATCAAGAATATATTGGAAGGCCGGGTGCAGTGTCTCATGCTGGTGATCCTAGCACTCTGGGAGGTTGAGGCAAGAGAATCGCTGGGGCTCAGGAGTTCGAGAACAGCCTGAACAAGAGCTAGATCCAGTCTCTACTAAAAATAGAAAAATTACTCTGGAGGGCTGAGGCGGGTAGATGGCTCAAGGTCAGGAGTTTGAGACCAGCCTGAGCAAGAGCAAGACCCCATCTCTACTAAAAATAGAAAGAAATTAATTGGCCAACTAAAAAATGATATAGAAAAATTAGCTGGCACAGTGGCGCATGCCTGTAGTCCCAGCTACTTGGGAGGCTGAGGCAGTAGGATCGCTTGAGCCCGGGAGTTTGAGGTTGCTGTGAGCTTGGTTGATGCCATGGCACTCTAGGCAACAGAGTAAGACTCTGACTCGAAAAAGAAAAATTAGCCCAGGTGTCATGGCACATGCCTGTAGTCCCAAAACTACTTGGGAGGCTGAGGCAGGAGGATCCTTGAGCCTAGGATCTGAGGTTGCTGTGAGCTACATGACACCACTGCACTAACCAGGGAGACAGAGTGAGACTCTGTCTCAAAAAAAAAAAAAAAGAATGTTTTGGACTAGAGATGAAGCAAAGGAGCTGGGCCTTCTACGCTGGCTAACATGGGCTGAACACAGGGTTAAGGCTATGAAAGAAGGAGGGCCTAGTACACCTAGGCCCTCCTGGGCCCACCTAGGCTCCTGTGTTTGGCTTAAGCAAAAGACTATTTTTTGTTTAGAAAATGCTAAATTATAGCTAAATTTGTAACCTGCCAAGCATGCTGAGCCCACTCCTCCATCTCATGGGCTACGTATATCGACATGTACGAAGATCATCTCTACCTTCCCAGACCTCCTGGTTCTCTTTTTAACACCCAAATTTACCATCGCCCAACCTCCTCTTAATCCCTACCCTTCTCAAGGCCCCTTGCCCTTGAGAAGGTAAAAGGAAGCAAAAGAGCTCTCAGCTTCCCGTCAGACTCAGGAGTCCCTGTGGGTTTCAGCTATTGGAGGCTCTGGCCCCTAGATTCCTTGCACACGTCGGCAACAGCCTGCAACTGCACCCGGCCCATCGTATTCTTTTTGTATCCCCAAGTGCCCAGCATGGTCCTCATACACAGGCAGCGACATTAAAGTTGCAGAATAGAGATGTTGAACATTTTTCACCATGTTTGTTGCCATTATTCTGTCTCTTTTGAGAGTTCTGTTCATACCCTTTGTCCATTTTTGATACTGTTGTTTGATTTTTTTGTTGATTTCCTGAGTTCTAAATAGATTCTAGTTATCAGCCCTTTACAGATATGTAGCTTGCAAAAATTTCTCCCATTCTGTGGGTTGTCTGTTGCTCTCTTGACAGTTTCTTTGGCTGTCAACATTTATCGGTGTCGGGAGGTGGGAGGAGGGAGGAAGGGACGGGTATATACTACAACCACAACGAGTAAGATGTGCAAACGTTTGGGGATGGACACGCTTGAAGCTCTTACTCAAGGGGTAGGGGGCATGGGCAATATATGTACCTTAACACTTGTACCCCCATAATACGCTAAAATAAAAATAAATAACAAAGTTTGCAGAATAAATGAATGCTGTCCACACCTCAATTCTTGTCAGTTTATACCTCTGTGTAGCCTGTATTTATGAGAATTATTAATAACATTTGTAGGCCGGGTCGGTGGCTCACTCCTAATAATCCTAGCACTCTGGGAGGCCAAGGCGGGTGGATTGCTCGAGGTCAGGAGTTCGAAACCAGCCTGACCAAGAGCGAGACCCTGTCTCTACTATAAATAGAAAGAAATTAATTGGCCAACTAATATATATAGAAAAAATTAGCCGGGCATGGTGGCACATGCCTATAGTTCCAGCTACTTGGGAGCTGAGGCAGAAGAATCACTTGAGCCAAGGAGTTTGAGGTTGCTGTGAGCTAGGCTGATGCCACAGCACTCACTCTAGCCTGGGCAACAAAGTGAGACTCTGTCTAAAAAGATAAAAAAAAAAAATAACATTTATAATGAGTACCTCAATTTGCACAGGACTTCAAATTACATTGCCTCCTCCAATCCTGCGAGCAGCCCTCAAATCTGGGTATTATCACAACCATTCCCAGGTGGGAAAACTGAGGCTCAGTGAGCAAAGCAATGGCCCAGGGCCATGCCGTCAGAAGAAATCTATGTCATGTGTTATTCTTCACAAGTTGCTGCACATGTCACAAGTGCAGTCTAAATAAAAAATACAACTTACTCATAAAAACAGCCTTGCCATCCTCTCGCCCCAGCTGAGATTTCTCATTTGCTGTCACCAGCAGGGCCCATTCTGAGGCTCCACTCATACCCTTCTCATGAGCCAGGACCTGGGCATCCACTCTCCTTCTACCCGAACCCAAATCAAGTCCTGGGTAGCAGGAAGGTACAAATCCACCCACTAGAGAAGAAAGTTCCCAGTTCAGAAAAACTCCTTCCATCCATTTACAGATGTAAGAGCATCATTCTAATCTCGAGCTGCCTCCCAGGGCAGTGGATCATCCAAGTGGCAATGGATGAACATTATGCCCAGGAGGGGTTCCTGGGATTGTCTTTTGGGATATTAAAATCTCAATTAAATGCACTAGGAAGGTTGGGATTTGGAGAAACCCTGCTAGCAACGATTAAGCAAAATGAAGATCGCTTTTGTAAGGAGAATAGCTGGCCCCAGAGAACTTGTCTTGTTCATCTCATGGATACCTGATGGGTTTGTTAGAGAAGCACACGCCAGCGCCTACTTCCAGGCCTGGAATTCTTGGAAACAAGGTCTTTCCAGGGTCCCCACTGCCTGGCATTGGAGCCTCTTTTCCTAGTCCCTCTTCCCTTTCATCCCGAACCTGTTTGTAGGCATGAGGTCCTAGCTTGTGATCCGAAGAGGGGCCAAAGACCCTCAGCGAATCGCCCACCTCAGGCTGGCAAAGCTGTGTGCTAGATGATACAGAGGAAAAGAAAGATGTGTCTAGATTTCACATGGGCTCTGTTTCTAATATCACTTTCATTTATTTTTAAATCGGAGACAGGACTCAGTTGTCTCTTACTCATGGTTGCATCACCGAGGGCAGAGAGAGGTTGTGTTCCTTGGCCAGGCCTGGCCCTTCCAGATGTGCTTGGGGCGGGGGTCATGCTGGGCCTGAAACATTATTCAGGGAGCCTTTTCCTCTCTCCTGTTGGAGCTCTGCACCCCCATTTCTCTCGGCAGCCAGTCCCACCCCCCACCCCACCCCGCTGCCCCTTCCTCAAACTAACTGCTGCACTCACTGCAAACTGAGCACAGAAGACACGGGGCTTCCGTTCTCGGCGTTCCTCGTCCACACTCCCGGTCCTGCCTCTCTCCTTCCCTCCACCTGAGCCTGCCGTCTGCTCATCCATCTGCTCGGGGCACCCAGCCGCCAGCCGCCTCCTCTGTCCGCGGCGCCAGTCATCAGCTCCTTCCCACCAGCCGTCCCTGCCAACATTCAAACGTGCTCGGGTCTCTGACACTGAAAAATAAATAAATAAATGAATAAATAATCCCTTCACCCCAGTACCCCGCCAGCTCTGTCCTTAGCTCTCCCTGCAGTTGTCTAGGTTCCCCCCACCACCACCGGCACCGTGATCTTGTGTGGATCAAACCCCGTGGGTTGTGGGTCTGAATACCCATCCTGCCCCGCACAGCGCATGCTCACTCCACCTCCCCTAATGCGCCACCCCGCGCTAGCTGCTCCCATGGGACCCCAGCCCCAGCAGCCTCCTGCCCCCCTTGGGCATGAAAGGACCTGCCCCTGGCAAGCAACACTGCAGTCATGGGGGTGCCTGGGTCAGGTCCTGTGACCTGGAGGTCTAGCAGGTTTGAGCTAACATGTCCTGGGGCATCCATCTGCACAGACCCTTAATAGAGGAAGATTCCAAGAGCTTAGCAGTAGCAGTTCCCGTTTTTCCTAAGATTCCAGGAATGACTGGCTCTCCTTTAGATTAACCCAATCTTTCTTTAGAAATGCCTTGCTCTAGTTTGCTGTTCTATCTCTACCAGAGATTTGCATATCTCTGGTCCTATCCAAGCTAGCTAGTTTACAGTTCCCCTCTTAGAAGACAGCCTCATTTACAAGTGGTTAAAACAGGCAGGTGCCCCCTGGGTATCACCCACAAGGGGTCCTGTGACTGGCAGGAGACCATCCACCTGGAGTTCCTGAACCTTCTACCAAGTTCCTGTGTCCTCACTCAGCCCTGCTCTAGCCCCCTCCCATCCCGCAAGCCCCCGGCCCCAGCACACACCCAGGCAGAACTGTGGGTTCCCCTGTGTGCTCCCTCCCATGACCATAAATTTCTCATACTCGAGTATTGATTATTCTTGACATTCTATTAGGGCCACTTGGGGGCTTATTCTCACATTTATTTTCATTTCAAAACAGAGTGTTAAAAAGCAATCTATAACTGCCTGATACCTAAACAAATACCCAGACCCATTATGTCAATAACCAGGTAAATGTTTTACTTGCTGGTTTCCAGCTGCCATGAGGAGAGATCCTACCATTTGCCAGATGTTCAGACAGGGCCTGGAAAACAGATCTGCAAGGTGCACTATCCTAGGGGGGAGTGCTGCAGTAAACAAACAATTTTAGTGTTGCTGAGTGTTTTGTGTCTATTTTTTAGGTAAAAAATAAAAAAGCCATGGTGTAGTGGGAAAAGCCTAAACTAAACCTGGATTCATTTTGGACAAAATTTGATTGTAGTCAGTGTCACTTACTCGCTCTGTGTAGTCTCTGGAACTCAGTTGCCTCATCTATACAATGGGCACAAATAGCAGGATCACTTTTCTGGCTGGGGATTGTTGGGACAATGGACCTGAAAGCACTTTGCATGCTGTACACCCTGTGAGCCCTTTGTAGGTCCACTGCCATTGCTCAAATGGGCAGTGCCGTTGTTTGGGGCCAATATCACTGATGTCTTGTGCTAGAATTAAAACTGGAACTGACAACCAAGCAGCCCACCTTTGCCTTGACCCAGCCAGGTTACTTTGGACAAGGATGCCTGCATCACTTCACAGGATTCTTCGTAATATAGTGGTATAGGAAATGGCAAATGGCTTCCAGAAGTCAAGAGTCGGGGGCGAGTCTTGGGGCACACGATAGTGTAAACTCTTTATGTAGAAGCAAATTGAGAGCATTTGTTCCTCCCCTCCCATGGTCCTATCAGCAAGATCCATTGGAAGGAAAAAAGAATTTCAGTATCAACTGATAATAGGAGCCTCCAACCATCCAACCCCACCATCATCTGCCCAGTGGGGCAGCAGAAGACCCCTGCAGCAGTCTGGATGATCTTGTGCTAGTCCCTTCAGTTTCTTTTCCTCCCTCCTCATCTGTTCAATGGGGCCACTAAGAGAGCCCTCCCTATGATGTGCTTATTCTGTGAGCATCAAGTGAGGTCATGTATTTGGAAGACCTTGGTAAACAGTAATTATTTACAAAGCTCTGTGCACGTGAATGTTCTGCATAATTTAAGTAAATCTGTGAGACAAATACGAGGGAAACCCAATGGCAATCCATTCCTTGGACCATCTAAGCAGAAGCAGAAGTTTCTTTTGAAAAAGAATCAGGGTGGGTAATATCTTCCAGTAACTGATGGAGCCTCAGGGAGGGAGTCTAGATTAGAGCCTGGGGCATTAGAGTTTTGGGATTTTAGGTTTGAATCCCGCCTGCTGTCACTAGTGCTGACAATTTGCATAATTTTAGGCAATTTATTTAAACTGTTTAACCCTCAGGTTTTTCTTCTGTAAAATGAGAATAATAATGGTCCCTACCTCACAGGGTTGTTATGTTGATTATTCAAGATAAGGCACTTAAAACAATTTGCACAATACTTGGCTCAATACAATGTTAGCTGAACTTTCCCCAGGTAGATGGGCTAAAGAAAAGAGGAAGGGAGCAAATGTATTAACTGGTCAATTAGTTCTCTTTTGCACCAGGTCACGGGTCATTCTCACCTAAGGAAGTGTTTAGAAATTATACATATTGACAAGAACTTGAACATCATATGCAAGATGAGAATGGTATTGCTAGTTATGGTGAAGAGATAGGGAAACTATTGCTTTTCCTTTATCTCTTGTCCCAATGTTGTTTGCACAAAAGATACAGTTTTGTTTTGTTTTTAATTTTAAAAGAAAAAAACAAGCCTTGCCCTGAAATGTGGCAGTTGGCTCTGAGGATGCCTTAAAGATGGAAGTCTTAGGCGGGTAGAGATAGAAATCTATAGCTTGCAGGAAGATATTAAAGTGATAGATTCCCATGGCATTTGCAATAAGACCTAGACCGGGCATGGTGGCTCCTGCCTATAATCCCTGCACTTTGGGAGGCCGAGGTAGGAGGATCCCTTGAGGCCAGGAGTTGGAGATCAGCCTGGGCAACATAGCAAGACGCCATCTTTACAAAAAATGTAAAAATTAGCCAGACATGGTGGCATGTGCCTGTAGTTCCAGCTACTCAAGAGGCTGAGGCAGGAGGATTGCTTGACCTTGGGAGTTTGAGGAGTTTGGGAGTTTGTGTCATGATGCCACCGCACTCTAGTCAGTACAACAGAGTAAGACTCTGTCTCAAAACAAAAGACCTGAGCTCCTTACAGGGGCTAAATGCACCTCCGTGAATATAGAAGGTACTCAAGGTAGGACCCAGCCATTACCTTTCCCTTCCCAGTTGCCTGGGCAGCCAGCATTCTGGCCCTCTGTCCTCAGGCTCCTTTGAATACCACACTGTCTCTGCCAGCCACTTCCAGGTTTGCAGTTCAGGTCTCTGCTCAATGTTATCTCATTCCAGAGACCTTGTCATTCTATTTCATTATCCTTTTTCTTTTCTTTTCTTCCCAGTATTTACTCAAATTGCCTCATTTGTTTACATGTTTACTGTGTGCTCATGTGTTTACATGTTTACTTTCTCTAGAAGACTTTAGTCCCTCCCCCATCCAACATTCCACTTTCCTCTGTTTCAGTTATACACAGTCAACGGAGGTCCAAAATTATTAAATGGAAAATTCCAGGAATAATTCACAAATTTTAAATTGCAAGCATTTCTGAGTAGTGTCATGAATGCTCTTAGCGCCCAACTCTGTCCCAAGCGCTCCACACCGCTCACCCATCCTAGTAGCCGTCTGGGTGATCAGACCTACTGTCACAGTACTGCAGAGATTAAATTCGAGTCACCCTTATTTTATTTAATAATGGCCCCACAGCACAAGAGGAGTGATGCTGGAATATTGCTCCAATTGTTCTATTTTATTAGTTATTGTTGTTAATCTCTTCCTGAGCCTAATTTATGTATTAAAACTTTATCTTAGGTATGTGAGTATTGTAAAAAACATAGTATACATAGGTTTCAGGCATTCACTAGGGTCTGGGACTGCATCCCTCAAGGACAAGGAGGAACTACTTTATGAGCACCATCAGACCAGAGACCTTGGCTGCCTCACTTGGCCCCCATATCTCTAGCCAGGGAACTGACAAGGCACTCAGTAACTATTTGAGAAAAAAGGAGCAAACGTGTAGACCTCAATTGCTAACGGTGAGGGGATGGGCAAGGGGCAGGCCAGCAGCACCCCACTCCCGGCTCATTGATGTGGGCGTGGAGCTCATATCTGGGCAGAATTTTAGGCATTTCAGCCAAAGAGCAGCTGGCTGCCAAGGCCAAGGGTAGAGATAGCTATTGGTACAAGAGGCTCTTGCTATAGCAGAAACCTTTAAATTTGGCTTCAACATCAGCCTTGTGTGTCTTTAAGGGCATAAACCTACTTGTTTTACATGGCTACTTAGATCTGATGCCAGGGCTTTGGTGCAGCCCTGGGTATAAGGGCAAAAGTCCACATCCTTCCCTAAATAAAAAAAAAAAAAAGAAAAAATCTAGCTCAAGGGAAACAAGTTCTTGGGAAATCTCATGTTCAGTTTGATTTAACCCACATTTACTGGGCCAAGGCCTGTATCGAGATGAGCAAGATTCAGAGCGTATTTCTCCTAGGGTAGATCTGACTCAAACAGGAATAAGAAATGCAAAGCAAAACGGGAAAGAGTAACGAAGTACCAGCACTAAACTCTCCAGGAGCACAGGGGAGGGATACACAAGCCCCATCTCAAATGAACTCCAGAGAGGACCCTGGCCTTCTGTTTCTGTAGCGCAACCTGCAAAAAGTGAAATCCACAACAAAAGTAGCCTGTGAGGTCATCTTCCCAGTCCCCCCACCCCTCACGGTCAAGATGGCTCCTTGAGGTCTGGCATCCTTTCCCAGCACCGGGCATGGTGGCAGGCCTGGGGGCAGATGGGCAAACTGCCTCGCTGTTTGCAAAAAGGCAAAGATCTTGAACTACTCAGTTCTTCAAGAGGAACAGCTAGTTCTTTTGACCACATCTTGGGCAGTTCTAGAGGCTGCCTGGCGGGATATGAGACTTCTGCTTACATTTGGCAGGTGAAGGCTCTGAACTCCAAGGGAAAATATCCTGGTATCCCCTTTCAGCAATGAGCCT